TAATGTGAAAAAATCAACTTCCATTTTAAGGGATACACCTTGGAGTACACCAATGCTCCCCCTGAGGGAAAAAAAATAGACAAATAGAAAATGAGATGCATAAAACATCTATTTAAATGCATCAATGACCTACTGAAGCAATGAGAAGGAAGGGAGGCCAAGATTCTGAAGAGTCTTGAGAAGAAACAACCATGGAAAGAAAAGCTGAGAATCCTTAACTGCTCTTTCCCTGGGGAAATTTGGCAGTGCTGGATCCTAGAATCAGAACTGGCTACTAAAGAGACACACCAGCCAAGTTTTGGGTGGCCTTGCAGTACTGGAGATACAAACTTAGAGATTTGTAGGGCTAGTACTCAAGGGAAAAGGACTGCTAAGAGTTTAGCTGAGCTACTCCACAGTATTGCTGCTTCAGCACACATTTTGTTTAGCCAAGTGGCCTGCAGGGGCTTCAAACTGACACTAGCCCCTCATGTAACAGCTTTTGATAGTCACAAGCAAATTGTGATCAATTTGATAGATAACAGCTTTTGCAGTCACAAGCAAATTGTGACCCACAGTCTCCCCTGCTTCGTGGGGACTTCTTCTTTGTGTACCCCATCAGCCTACCAAAACCTCATTCTTTTTGGTTTGAATCGACCAACCTGACCTTAGCTTGGGAACCCCAAAGCACTCGGCCCATAGACCGTAATAAAGACATGTGCCCATGTCCTGCCTCTTTCTTTGCCTGCACCTTTCTTTGACCACTTGATGTTGCCTATTGATGTGCCATGTACTTTCTCCAAGATCTGTGGATAATAAACTTCTCTATTTCTATTTCAGCTTCTCTTATGGACTTTTGTTGGACCATGGCCCACCATCTGGTACCCTGTGCTCCACTTAACAAATGTTAACTTAACTGTGTCAAAAGAGGGACAGATGAAGCACTGGAATTGGCACATGGTATTTCCCCCAAGATATTTGTTGAATTCTGAAGCTGAGTGAGGTGGGGAACTAAGAACCTAAAAACAAAGACCACAAAAATCAGATCTGGGTTTCTGGCTGAGGAGAAAAAAGTAATAAATGTAAGAATTAAACAGAAGGAGAGGCACCAGTGAACACATCAGGCCTCCTACTGAAAGCTCAAGAGAGCAATACCCTGGAGAGGTAAATGGAGACCTATCTCCTGTGAACAAAGCTCAGTCCTCAATTGGATTTAGGTGATCAGTCTTCACTCCTGCCTAGCAGAAGAAAAGGTCAAACTGGAGTAAGATTACATGACCTGGAGCCTCTATGATTTTTTAATACCCAATGTACAAAATTAATTTAAAAAATTACTTAGCATGCCAAGAAAAGGATCATATAAACAAAACTTAAGAGATGAAAAAGACCTCTATATGACTTGGTGATTGGGTTTAGCAGATAACAATTTTGGAATGACTATGATTAACATGTTCAGTGAAATAGAGGAAAAGGAAAAAAATACATTAAAATAGTGGAAAGGGCAAGAATTAAAATTAAAAATTCAACACATGGATTTAATAACAGATTATATACAAGGGATTAAAAGGGTAAGTAAACTCAAAGACACGTGATTGTGAAATAGCAATACTAAAGAACAGAATAAAAAATGAGTGGTAAAAACAAAAAAGAATATGAAATATATGTGAAGCATAGTGGAAAAGTCTAACAAAAATGTAATTAGAGTCTTGTGAGGAGTGGAGAGAGAGAGAGTGAAACTGAAGAAATATTTGAAGAAATAAAGATGACTAATCCAAAAGATGAAAGACATCAAAATACAGATTAATAAACTCTGTAAACCTCAAGAAGGATAAAATACAAAGGATAAATATTCCTAGCACATTAGAATAAAACTTCTAAAAAAAAAATCTTCAAAGCAGCCAGAGAAAATTTTTACTTGAAAAGAATCCACAGATTTGTTGGTAACTTGTCAACAATAACAGAAACCATAAAACAATGATATGACCCCTCAAAGTCTTTCAAAATGACAGTGATACACTTTTCAGAAAAACAAAAACTGACACTGAAATAATTTGTTGCCAGTAGACCAAGAGAAGGGAAATAATCACAGATGAAAACACCAAATATATTAAAATCATGAAGAGTTAGAGGAAAACTGGACATTTAATTGAATACTGACTCCACAGCATGATGAGGGTGGTGATGTCATTGTATAGGGTTCAAACTACAGAAGATCTGTAATGCATATAATAAAGAAGGCAGAAGGATGTAAACTGAATTAAGAACTTATTAGATCTAAGGATTATCTGGGAACTGTTAAAAGTAATCATTTATATCAGCTTGTTAGAAATCAAGAACATAAATTATAATCTCTACGGTAGTCACTAAAGTTAAACAATGACTAAAAAGTAACCTATGAAAACAAAATAATAAAAAGCATTAATATAACAGTAGGCAAGAAAGGAGGAAAAAAGCCCCATAATATAGGCAGGTCAAATAGAAAACAACAGAAGACAGATTTAAACCCAACAGTGTCAGTAATCACAATAAATGTAAGTGGGTTAAATAGTCTAAGAAACTAAGACTGTCACACCAGATAAAAACAATTCAACTATATTCCAAATCTCAGAAACACATTTTGAATATAAAGATACAAATTGAAACTGAAAGTATGAGAAAAGTTGCTTTAGTTATAGTAACACCAGATGAATAGATTTTGAAACAAGAACAATTATCAGAGATAAAGAAGAATTTTAATAACAATAAAGGGATTAATCCCCAGGAAATATAAATTTCTAAATCTGTATGCACTCCAAGACAAAGATTTAAAATATATAAGGGAGAAATTAACAGTACTAAAAGAAAAAAATGGTCCAAATTATAATCATAGCAGGAAGACTAATATGTTCATCCAAGTAGCTCATAGAGCAAACATGCCAAATCTTAGAAAGGCTATAGAAAATCTGAACACTACAATTAGCAAAGTTGGTCTAATTTATGCATCAAGAAGAAAAGAATTCACATTCTTTTCCAATGTATATGAAATATTTAATAAGCTCTACTATTTTTGTGTTGCAAAAATGCCTCAACAAATTTTAAAAGAAAAAATTATTTAGAGTATATTTTTGATCACATTGGAATTCAGCTAGAAATTGATACTAAATCCAACTCCCTGCAAAACAACAACAACAATAACACATTATAATCCATTAAACAGTTGTGAAAAGGAGCATTTTATGAGGTGCGATCTCTTCAAAAAATGGATCAAACTTTTTAACTCAACATACTCATGATTGTAAATAAACTTATAGCATGAAAAACATACATTACAAAACAATTCATGGGGAAAAAAAGAAAATTAGAAAGAAATAGAAAATATTTTGACCTGAATTGTAATGAAAAAAATAACATATCAAAACTCAGGGATGCAGTTAAAGCCTTACTTAGTGAAAAATTATGTCTTTAAAAACAGTTTTGAGAAGAAAAAAATGCTAAAAAGCAATTTTTAAAGTTTCTATGTCAAAAGATAGAAAAAGAAGTATACAGACCCTAAGGAAAAATAACAAACACAATGGCAGATATCAACAAAAACTGATGAAAATCTACCAAGACCAATCTTTGAAAAAAAAAAAAAAGCATACACAAATTACAATATCAGGAACAAAAAAATGAACACCACTACAGATCTTACAGACATAAAGAGTATATTAAAGGACGAACTGGAACAAGTTTATGCCATAAAATTTGACAGTTTTGATGAAATGAACAAATTCTTCTTTAAAAATATAACTTGGCAAAGCTGACAAAAGAATAAATACAAAATCTGAATAATCATACATGTGAACAAGCATGTGCATGCACACACACTAAATAATTAAATATATTATTGAACACCTTAGCCTGAAGAAAACTCCAAGCCCAGATGGCTTCATTGGTGAAGTCTTCCACTAATTGTAAGAAAGACATATCACTAATTAACAAATTCTTCTAAAGACAGAAAAGGTCAGAATGAATCACAACTCTTCAATGACATCAGAATAATCTTTTTTTTTTGTATGCATTACAATTCAGTTAACTGTTCATTTAGACACTTTTTTTTTTGTAATCACAGAATAACATTTAATTATAAATCAAGACATGGTATGATATAATGACCATGTATGTTTCCAAACAGGTTTTACTATTGGGAGAATGGAAATATGACCAGAATAATCTTGATACAAAAACAAGGACATTACAGGAAAATTACAAGTCAATCTCTCTTAAAGATAGATGCAAAATTCCTAAACCACATAACACCAAGTCAAATCTAGCTGTGTATAAAAATAATAATAGATTACGAATAAGTGGAGTTTTTTACAGGAACAAAAGGGTAATATGACATTTGAAAATCAGTTAATATAATTTACCTCACAGAGAAAAAATGAGAAAAAAATGGTATGGTCAAAAAAAATTAAAAAAAAATGGTATGGTCATTTCAATAGACACAAAAAAGCACATGATAACGTTGAGCAATACAAGAAGTTCACCATGTACCCAGAACAGGGAAAAAGTTTCTCTAATAATGAAGAAGAAAGTGGGAAGAAATGAAAGTTTGGAACTCAGCTTCCAGATAGGGATATGTTCCAGGGCACTGATTGGGCAATCCAGGATACAGATATCCAGGTGCAGTAATGGCTGCTTCCCCAACAGAAAGGTATTCATTTCCCAAAGTCAACACTCATTAGTGATATAAATTTTTAGCAACAAGGAATAAAAGAGAATTTCATTAATCTAGTGAATGATTATTTACAAAAGCAAAACAAAACTTACAGCAGGTGTAATACTTCATGGTGAATTACTGAAAGCCGTCTCCCTGAGACTGAGAATGACAAGCTCATCCAAAACTAGCATTTCTACTCAAAACTGTATCAGAGATCCTAGTTAGTACAATATGGCAAGGCAAACTTAAAGATATTTGCAATACTATATATGACTAAAAACTAGAATAAAATAATAACTCCTATGAATTAAAAATAACAAGGCAACTGGTAGAAACTTACTTAAATAATAATATTTAGAGGAATGAAAAGTAGTAGTTAGGCTTCAGGGTGGGCTTGATCCAGTGGCTCAAGAATGTTATCCAGTTTCCTTTAGTTTCACCACTCTACCTTCAGCAGTGTCAACTTTATTTCCAAAGGCTGGCTCTCACTGTGGTCAAAAGATGGTTGTCAAGAACTCCGTAGCCATATTCTTTCTCACTAAAAGACAGAGAGAGGAGATTAAAATTGAGATTGTTCAAGTATTTTAAGCAAGGGACCTGAGATTTACTCTGACTGGGCTGATGTGGGACACATGTTCATCTCTTATCAAAACCTAGAGAGTGCACTGCATTGATGAATTTAGCTTGATTATATACTCCATCCCTTGGATTTGGGGGTAAATTCAATGTCTCAGATCTATGTGGATCCTCAAAGAGAAATAAGTTGTTGGGAAGGGGATAATGCAGAGGTGCCCAAACTTCCTCTGTTCACAGTGCCCTTAGTGCCCCACTAATTTTTTCATGGTGTCAAAACAAATAACCAACAGGTCTTTTTTATTCCTTTTATTAAGTAGTCAGGCACAAACAACTTAATAATATTAGTTCATGTAACATCCAACTGTTACAGTGCTTCTCTTGAGAATTTAAAAGATCTCACAGTGCTTCTTTGAGTTCTCCATGGAACAGAACACAGCTGGGCAGTTTGGGAACTATGGTAATAACAGCTGATGGAAAGGCAATCACACATAACCACTGACTTCCTAAGTCAACAATCATGACAAGAAAATCAGTTACCAATTGTTTTGTAACAAAGTATAGAAACTTCCACACAGGAGAAATTTAGAAAGCATAGTTGGTGACACTATCTTAATGAGACCACAGAATATAAGGAAGAATGATGGAGTTTAGAGAAGGGGGAAAAAAGATGTTAAAAACTCATCCCCTCCTGCTCACCACTGGGCCAAGAGCTTTGAAAGATAATGAGAATTGAAACTCCTGGTTGAGTATCTTTAGCTCTCTTCTACACTGGCTTCTTTGCTCTGAACCAAAACAGTTAAACCACTTTGTAGATTTGTGATCAAAGGACAGGCTTAATGGCAAGTAAGGATTTTTAGATAGCAAAAACATAGAGGCAAAAATAAGAGAAGTTTAATAATCTTTATTTTAAAGGCTATGGGTTTAAAAATTAAAAACTTACCTATAGCTAACTAGCATAATTCTTACTTTACTGGATCTTTCTGTCACTTGCAAATACAACATCTTAGATCTCTAAAAACCTGCTCCAAGTGTTTCTGGGAGTTCCTGAGGACTGTCTCACATGAGCTCATTAACAAATGTGGTTAATTTTCACCAAGCAGTTAGAATAAATAAAGGTAATTCATCATTGTGTAGAGTTCTAGCCCCTTTTTTCTCTCTGTATCCCCTCCACGGATTATCACTACATCCTCTGGGCACTGTGGCATCCACTGGGTCTAGCCAGGCCTGCCATGCACCACCACATTTTATGTGCATGACTGGACACTGTTGTGGATGCCTCCTTCTCTACAGCACATAGCTGTACGGTTTTCCATGAGAAAAAGCAGAGATTTAAGATTACAAAACAGCCCCCTCCCCGCCCCCCCGGAAAACCTTACCACCACATCAACAGGGCTCTGGTATAACAAGCATGGAATACAACTGAGAGAACTGCAAGACACAGACTCTATTTAAGGAGGAGTTCTTGGGGCGCCTGGGTGGCTCAGTGGGTTATGCCTCTGCCTTTGGCTCAGGTCATGATCTCGGGGTCCTGGGATCGAGTCCCCCATCGGGCTCTGCTCAGCGGGGAGCCTGCTTCTCCCCCTCTCTCTGCCTGCCTCTCTGCCTACCTGTAATCTCTGTCTGTCAAATAAATAAATAAAATCTTAAAAAAAAAAAAGGAGTTCTTAGGGAAACCTAAAGTCAATGGGAAGGAAAAAATGCACCCAACCAACCAACCAACCAACCAACCAAACTTACACATGAAACCAAAAAACCCCAGAGGAAACTGAAGCCTCTGACACAGATACAGCAAACATTAAACACAGCCCAGCTCCTGGCTAGATTAACGTAACACCTCACACTTCAAACCTGATTGCCTCAGTTCCTATTATCAGACATATCATATCTAGCTTTCAGCAAAAAAATTACAAGTCATCTTTTAGGGCAAAAGGTTAAGATGACCATTTCACAAAGGATACATGCATAGAAATATGTGTGCCCTTGTCTAGTCCCTCTGCCCCAAAGCAGGAGATATCTCATGACCAAATGACACTGTGTGCTCTGAAGTGGGTGAAGGCAAAAAAGACTTGGAGCCTCAGGCTTCGCAAATTCAGAACCCAATGAAACTCCACTTCTAGTGAAATAATGAAGGGTAGGAACTCTGTAGCCATATTACCTGGGTTTGAATATTGGCTCTGCTTCATACCAGTGTCTACTTTGCTTAGCATTTGTACACTTCCTATTCCTAATCTGTGCAATGGTGCTTTTTGTAACATCCAAGTTATAGGGTTTTAAATGAAGTACTTAAAAGTGCACCAAGCACTTAATAAGCACTCAAAAACGAGCCATGATTGTTCCCAAAATCTAAAAGTCATTCAGATATCAAATTTCCACCATGTCTCCTGTTCTTTCACTATTAACAAAAATTAAAAAAAAAATTTTTTTTTTAAATCTTGTATTACAGTGAAGAAACATTGTATTTTGATGCATGGTATAGGTAAATAAAAGAGCTAGAGTACCAATTGTCTGGCTGTAAAGAAGAAATTGTATCTGTTCCTCTCTAAATTCCAACTATTTTTAGAGCACATTAATACAAATAGTGTCCACTGCTTCATTTCTAAGAGTGCCTTTGATGCCTTTATTTCCTGGTGTTAAACTAAGGATCCCTATCAGCAGTGGGTACAGACTTAAATGATCAACAGTTCTCCAGCAGAAGAAAAACTCAATTCTTAGAACAGCATGACTCAAGGATGATCTCCTTTTAGAGTAAATGTGGCCTCATCCTGAGAAGACAATTTCTAATATAAGGAATCTAAATAAAATATTTTACTTGATTATTACTATTATAAATTTGTGATTTCATTATATTACAATTCTTGTTTGTGAATAGAGACTGTACTTTTAAGTTTTGTTTGTTCATTCTACATTTGACATTCAAATGGTTCTTGTGACTATGGGCTTGGAGCTGGGGAAAACTATCTCCTGTATGTCTTTCCTTCTACTAAAACCCTATACCATTAATGGTTTAGTATATCCTATCTGTCTTGAAAGATTCATTGGTTCCCATTTTGGTGCTTTACCTGAAATTAGTTTTCTTGATATGATGCTCTATCAAGTTCTCAATGACTATTCACAAAAGTAAAGTTTGGTTGGGTTATTTTCAATGTCAAAAAATATTTATACTCTTGACTCAGCAATTCCTACACATATACTCTCTCAAATAGACACACACACACACACACACACACACACACTCTCTCTCTCTCTCTCACACACACACACACACACAGTGTTGTAACATTTTTGTAATGACAAAAAAATGGGAACAATCTATGTATTACAAGAAAGTCCAAGTAATAAATTTTCTCTGTTGGAATATTATGCAACCATTAAAAAGAATTGTATATATATTACCCAGATTTAAAAGAATGATGTAGATATTTATGCAATGACATGAAAATATGCAAATATGCTGAAATTATATTGATGAAAAACAAAGTTGCTGAAGAGTATGAGCTCAAAGTCTATAAAAAAATTACACTGACGGGACGCCTGGGTGGCTCAGTTGGTTGGACGACTGCCTTCGGCTCAGGTCATGATCCCGGGGTCCCGGGATCGAGTCCTACATCGGGCTTCCAGCTCCATGGGGAGTCTGCTTCTCCCTCTGACCTTCTCCTCGCTCATGCTCTCTCTCACTGTCTCTCTCTCAAATAAATAAATAAAATCTTTAAAAAAAAATTACACTGACATATACATAATTTATGGAAGGATGCAAAAAACAATGTATTAACATGCTTCATTTTAGGAAATAGGATGGAGGAGGGGAGCAATAAAGGGGAATTTACTTTTCACTCTATAGTCTTTTTAGTTTGAGTAACTTAATCTTATAAAAATAAATGAAAGGATTTCAAACATATGTTTTAGGTATAAAAATAAATCACAAAATAACATGTAATTTATGAACACATTTTATATTTTTAAAAACTATATATTTTCCATGTGTTGATAAATGCAGGCATAAACTAATGTCTGGAACCATAAAATATATCTTAATTTGGAATTAAATATTATTTAAAAAGGTATTTACTGGGCGTCTGGGTGGCTCAGTGGGTTTAAGCCTCTGCCTTCTGCTCAGGTCATGATCCCAGGGTCCTGGGATCGAGCCCCACATCAGGCTCTCTGCTCAGCAGGGAGCCTGCTTCCCCCCCCCCACCACCGCCTGCCTCTCTGCCTACTTGTGATCTCTGTCAAATAAATAAAATCTTAAAAAAAATAAAATAAAAAGGTATTTACTTGATAAAGTGCTCTTAAGATTTTGTCCTCATGCTTACTATCTAAAAAGATCCAGTCATTTTTCGTGCCAAGATTATGATTTCCCAAGGTGCTATTATATGTATTAGTTCACCTAATGCCTTTCCCAACAACTATAAGACACTATACAAAAATAAATGATTGACAAACTGGTAAAAATGGCACCTAGGAAGTAATAGTTGCTATATTGCAATGGGTATTTTTAAAAAATCTTTTAAAAAATTATTAAGTATAAGGGTGCCTCTGCAGCTCAGTCAGTTAAGCAACCAACTTTTGGTTTTGGTTCAGGTCATGATCTCAATGTCATGAGATTGAGCCCTGAGTTGGACTCTGCATTCAGTTGAGAGTCTGCTTGAAAAATTGTCTCCCTCTGCCCCTCCCCCCAATTCATTGTCTCTCAAATAAAATTTTAAAAAATTATTAAGTTTAAAAGACATATTAAAGTGAACACAACAAACTCAGTGAATTATCACAAGGTGAACACTATTCCTTGTTTGTTTTTGTTTTCTTTTTGTTTTTACCATCACACAGGTCAAGAAATAGAGTATTACTAAACATTCCAAATACCTCTTTTGGTCCTTCTCCATTTAGAAATCCTCCCTCCTCCTAAAAAATAATCAACGTTCTCATTCTTATCACCATAGTTTTATCTATTTTTGAACTTCATATAAA